ATAATCTCATTTCTTTCTGATTCCGGCAGGATCCTATTAGTAAGAGCTGAGCCCAGCTTTGAATCTTTGCCATATTGTTTGCTCAGAAGAGAAAAGATCAGCAGATGCCACTCTGCCAGAAAACTGTTGTGTAGATGAGTCTTTCCAGGGAGTCCCCGGTTTCAGGATCTTGCAGTCTGTCTGTCTCTTCATCCATCCGTCCATTCTAACAATTCTTTTGTGAGGGTCTGAGCTGTTTTGCATGGATTATCTTCCTGAATCCTTCCAACCCTGTGAAATGGGTTTTACTATTTTCCCTCTTCTGCAGAAAAGGAATCTGAGGCACAGAGGGGTTAAGTTTCTTGCCTAAGATTATCGTCTGCAGCGGTTGAACAGTCAAGGCCAGACTTTGAAGCCCGCTTCAGATTTCTTACCACTAGGCTAAACTCTGTCTTAAGCACCCAGAGGTGCTGCCGACAATGTAGCTGCTGCCTACAAATACGTGTCTTTTCAAGGGTTCAATGTGGGACTGGGGATGATAAACCATACATTTTCAGGATTATTTTTCTTAAGGCTCAGAAAGCCTAGGTCACTTGGATGACTTCAGTGCCTTTTCCCAGGCCAAATGGAAGGCTTGAGGACGCGAAGATCTGAGGGTATGAGGGTCACACACACCCCTACCCATTTCTTAACTATCTTTGGGAAGTAGTTTGCTTCGTAAAGTGCTTTCACAGGCATGGATGGTGTTCCTCAGTCAAGGCAGGAAGCTAGTCCCTTTAGTGCCTAGCTCTTTGCAAAAGCTGCCTACTCTTGGCAGCACCATGAAGGACAGAATAAGTTCTCTTCTGTGAGCACATTTGCCTCATATCTGCGCCCCTCAGAGTCTGTACTGAAGATTTGCACAGGTGTTAATTATAGGCACTGGAGGAAGTCGAAAAGGGATCAGATTGTTCCACCTGTTGTTTCAAAAAGAAAGAAATAGAACTCGAAAGGTGAAGTGACTTGTCTGAAAATCACCTATCCAGCTCGAAGCCACAACAGACATGGGAGTCAGGCCTTCTGCCTCTGGTTCACCCTCTATTGATATTGCATATTCCTGAAGCATATTGTGGCTCTCTGGACCTCTGCAGCCAGCCTATGGTGGGGACATACTTTGCTCTTTGTCATCTTTTAGGGACACACTGCTGATTTAAAAATAAAATATTATATTATTTCATGTATTTGAGCTTTTTTTATTTTTTAATTTTGGCCATAGGGTGTGTGTGCTTGCCAGAGACAGAGAGATGGAAAGTAAAAAACTATCTTCGCAGGGGGGGATGACCACACTACAATCCCTTCTTCTCCATTCTCTTCTGGGGATTTTGAGCACGCATGTACATGTGCCTGGTGTGATTTTCAAGCTGCCAAGTCGACCATCAAAACATGGTAGACCATGTGGAAATCTAGCATCTTAATCACCAGCCAACTACTGGCCCCAAGAGATAATATATTAATAAGCCTTTTCCCTTCATAGTAATAAAAGAAAAAGGTTGTTTTTTTGTTGTTGATGCTTTATTATCTAAGAGGTATATTGTAAAATTTTACAGTATAGGTGAATAGTATTAGGTATGGTAACAGGGCAAACTTCAAATGAGTTTTTGGGAAACTATGATTAGGATCCCTAATCATGATTTAAAACAGTATTTTGAACATGTAGAATGTTATTTGCAAAAAGCCTTATCTGTAATGAAAAATCTGTTAATGATAATTTACTTATGGAAAAGAAAATGAGAAAAAACTTTATAGTTAAAATTGTCATTTAAAAATTTCAGTTAATATTTCCCCAGGTCTTGCTTATAAGAGTCAAGCATTTAAATTACATTTTATTTTTAGAGAATATAAATTCAAAACATGAGGTTCAAAAGAAAAATGGAGGGACCAGCAGTTAGTGTAATGGCTATGTCGCTGGACTCCCATGTAGTCGATTGCGGTTCGAGTCCCGAACCCAGTGGCTTAAACTTGTGCTGGGCGCGTGTGCGTGTGTGCCCAAGACCCCAAGAGGAGAATGGAGAGGAGATAGCAGCGTGGCCATCCCCCATGGGGGGGGAGTAATTTCTTGCTTTCTGTCTTTCTGTCTCTCTCTGTCTTTCGGGTGAGCACACGTGCCCTATAGCGAAAAAACTCTCGAAGAAAATAAAAAAAGTAAAATGGAGAGCATAGTGAACTATTCTTTCGTATTATTGTTTATCACTGTTAAAAAAATAAAATTTTATTCCTCTCTCAGAATGACACAAGAATCTTAAAATCGAAAACCTAGCATTAAGATACACTTTGGGGGCTGATTTAGTGGCACAGTGGTAAGCTGCTGCTGAAGTGATGCTGTCCATATGGAAGATCATGGGTCTGGTTCCCTGGACAGCCTGTACACACCAGGGGCAAATACCCATGATTCTATTGGCTGGAAAGGTTCAGGCTTAGGGGGTTCACGGTGTGAGACCTTGTTGAGGGTGCTTGTCTTTATTGCTCTGTCTCTGCCTGTCACTCTCATAAAAGAAAGAAACTTTTTTTTTTTTTTTTTAAAAGAAGATACACACGGAAAGACAAGTTTACTGTGGATTTTTTTCTTTCAAAATGCGGCTCTGTGGCTGACCCTGTACATAGTGGTTAAGCACTGTTCAGAGGAAGCTGGATCCCACATGACTGACCAGAGTTCGCATCCTTGTCCCGGGTGTGTGCACACCCAGGATCCTGATGGAATGTCCTGATGGAATGGAGAATTGGAGGGAAAAGGATTGCAGCACAATCAGGCCCTGTTGCAGGGGGTGTTTTCTTCTCTGGCGTTAAACAAAAATGTGGTGCTAAGTTTTCTTAGCTAAATGTTTCTCAAGCATTTTGTTATAAACCTGTACTACAAACAGTTTCTTATTTTCCATTCTAGCAAAAAAGAGTAATCATTTAAGGTATGTCCTAAAATATTTTTACTTATTCCATTAGCTTTATGATGTCCTTGTACAGTTTTCCTTAGGGTTCTTTGGTTTGCATAATTTTTTTTTTTTTTTTTGTGGAACTTAAAGTACTATGAAC